TATGCCTAGAAAACTACTTGGTACATAGTAGGTATTATAAATAGGTATTATAAAAGTGAACATACTCAACAGTAACAAAAAAAGAAGTAATTTAAGATAAAAATAATTATCATAAAAGTAAGATTCAAAACACTTATTTGAATATGTATCATGTGGTTTCATAAACACATTAACAATATCAATGAAGCTTATATATATGAGATATCAAATATTATAATAAAAATACATTTTAGTAAGAAGTTCACCTCTAAATTATGTAAGAATAAAAATCATTAGGTAAGGTTCATTTTTTTATACAAAAATCTTTTAAAATGAGGAATACTAAATAAATTGGCATCATAAATGGAGGAGAAAGTCTATGTCCTCCTTTCAGTGAAAATGGAATGGTCCTTTTAGGACAGAATCAAACCCACTAAAATAAACACTTTGATCTACAGGTCAACTTTAAAAATGAATAGCAATTTATAAGACAGAGGAAAATCTATTTCAGTCAGGAAACAATACAAGCTGGTCTCCCAAAAGCCAACAAATCTTCCTGTAGATAAACAAAGGCTTCATGTTTACTGGAGGTTCACTACCTCCAAGAACCTATGGTATATGCTTGGTTTTTGGAAGAGGTAAGTCTAGACACATCCAAACCTTTCAAAACACCCCAAATACCACCAAATAGTATTCATACTTGCAGGATCCAGTGGCTTGTCACACAATTAATAGGAATGATTTAAATGTATGCCTCAAGGAAGGGATAAATTACTACATGACTTTGTGGGTCTTCTGGAACAGTAAAAGTCACAAGTTCATTGACCATATCTGTACTGTTTCCATGAGAGAATAAACTATCTTGGATACTAGTTAAATTTTTTAAAGTAACCAGAAAATGATATACTCCATCAGAGCTATTTACTAAATAGCACAGAGCATGAATACAACCTCTGAAGTAACTTATCGAAGCAAACTAAATAACAGTAGACATTCTATCTTCCTGTTAATTGATTGCCTTTGTTACACAACATTGTCTGGAAAAAAACTGACTACAATTCTAACTGCAAGCCACAGTAATCATGTCAATATGTGAACTATCTGAATATCTAATTATGAAAAAAATAAGGCTATTTCACAGTGGAAATATTATTCTAATTCAAGAAATCAGCCATATTAACTTATTAGTCTGACATATAGCAGATAGCTGAAAAACTTTAATTTGAAAGATAATTATTTTTAGCTGATTAATATGCTTCAAATTAAATTCACTGCTTTTAATGGGCCCATCAACTTGACAACCTGGGAAATTAATAAATTTTGCATGCAGTAATCCTAGGAAATTTATACAGCTGAGCTACACATCATTATAAGGATTACCTTCACAGTAGGCATTGTCCTCCCGAAGAGCCCTAAAACCATCTCGACAGCTGCACACGGCCCTGTCATTCAGATTTCTGCAGACAGAATTCTCCATGCAGTTATGCCTCTCAGAACAAAAGTCATAACCTGTAAGAAAAAAATCTATTAAAATAAATAAAACTATGATAAAACAAATAGTTTTCATCTCCTTCATATTTTCTTTCAAATTTTTCCCTCAATTACTTTTTAAAAATTAATATCTTTATCAAAGTTTATTAGACATCACGCTATAAGTATCAAAAACTCTGATTTATGTTTAACCCAATTATTTCATACTTCAGATAATTCCACATCTTTCTTGTTTTTTGACAATATAAGTGCTACCCAGTCTCTAATATCTAATTATAGCTCTCTATATACCTGAAACAAAGAAATAGTATTTCAGTCCAAAATGGAAAACATTACAATAAAGATGATAGAGCAATGAGAAAATAATATGAGCATCACTAGTATCTGTGGTTAATACTGAACAAGCCAGATGAAATGTGCCCATTGTATATTTATGAAACGAAACAGACAGCTTAGCTTCTTTTAAAAAAAAATTCTGAAATGTGTTAAAAATGCAAATTACATCACTTTAATCTAATTTTCTCTGGAGATCTGCAAGGTAAAGTATGGCCGCCCAAAAGACGAAGAAAATTTTTATGAATTACAGGGATTTCAAAGATCCCAGAGTCTTTATAAGAGAAAAGAAAAATGGAACTTTTATAAACAGTGACACCAATCATGTGCAATTTCTCAGGATTTCTTTCTC